GAAAGGTGGTTAATTAGTTCTTTTCCTTTTTTACTTTGTTTTTTTTCATGCGAAAGATTACATGAATTAGGTAAACAAAGAAGGAGAAGGTTAAACTCACAATAGTAGAGTAATTGTTGCCAAAAGTTTAGACGACTTGTGCCGAGGAAAGTAAATTCCTTTTTGGTAAGGTTCTTCAAAGCAGAATTTCCGCATTCCTCATATTTTGCCAAATTAGGGAACTCATCAACCAACTCTGTTGCAAAATCTATCGACAACACTTGCTAGTTATAGTTTGCATCACAATTTCTTAGTATATCAATAAACTGAAATGAGATGTACAGATATGAATAAACAAATATTACAGAGAGGTCTAAATGAACCTAGCAACACAAACAATTGTTGGCCGGCCTATTTTTGCTGAATATTGAAATCAGACAAGAATAGTGACATGAAGTTGAAAAAAAAAAAAAAAACAGTGATGACAAGATATCGACCCAGATGAATCATTCATCAAGAATCAATAGAACAGTAACGCGAATGTGAGAGAAAGAACAAGAAGAGAGTAACTAAGATAGGAGAAAGAGTAAGTCACACAATTTCATTCAATCTGTTATTTCTAATGTTTGTCTATATACACAATTTCCAAGTGTATGATGTCCCTTTTATACAAGTTTGTTGAGGCATTAATGCAATCTGGTTCCGTTTTGCATATGTCATGTCAAATGTCAATACATCCATCACCAAGACAAACAAAAATGGGCTAAGCATCAATCCCTCGTGCAAACCCATCTCAACTAAAAGGTGCTCTGAGTCTCCTCCCGCTATTCTTTACCCGAGTCTTGGCTCAATCATATCTATCCTTCATCGCCCTAATGTAAGCTACTGGTCCACCTCTGGCCTCAAGGCATATCAATAGAAATTCTCTGTGGATTTTATCAAAGTTTTTTCTAGGTCAATGAACACTATATGTAGATTCCTCTTTCTTTTCCTATACTTTTTCACAAGTCTCCTCATAAGATAAATGGTTTTGTAGTTGATTGCCCCAACATAAATATGTAGTGATTCTAAAAAATGGGCACTGCCTCCTCACCCTCATCTCTACTTCCTCTTTCAAACTTTCATAGTGTGGCTTAGTAGCTTGATACTCTTGTAATTGCAGCTATAGATATCACCCTTGTTCTAGTAAAATGAAATCAACATACTCCACCTTTATTCTTATAATATTATAGTCGTCTTTAAAATGACATTAAGCAACCTAGTAAACCACTCAATGCATGCTTGCCCCGCATTTACTCTTTCAAAACTCCAACAAATCTCATCTGGATTAGTATCTCTTCCCCAACTCATCCTACAAGTAACAGCCTTAACATCCTCAACCTTAATACACCTACAATATTCAAAATCTTGATGTTTCTTTGAGTGCTCCAAATCACCCAATACAATGTCTTTGTCCCTTTATTCGTTCAAGATGTTATGGAAGTATGCTTGTCATCGCCATCTAATAAGAGCCTCTGCCACTAGCACTTAGCCTTCCTTGTCTTTTATGCTTTTCACCTAATTCAGGTCCCAAGCCTTCATCTATCTCACCTAGGGGAGCCTGTACAACTTTTTATCACCACCTTTAATTCTTTCCCCTTGCTTGAATACAAGAGTTTCAGAAGATGTCATTTTTGTTGTCATAATCGCTAACTTCGTCGCCTTATACCTTTCCTTATTCATCTGCTTTTCCTCTTAGTTTTTGTTTTTTCACCAACTTTGCATTAGTCTACTTTGTTTCCACTTTGCCTTAAGCTTCTCAATTCTACCACCATCCCCTTCATCATGAACACCAAAGGTAACCATCGAAACCCCTGGAACTTCTTTACCGACTTCCCTAATGCAATCAACTATCTTATCCCACATGTTGTTCTCATCCCCACTACTCTCCGAAGCTCCCATTCCCATTAACCTCTCCTCCTGGAGTCCATCCCCCAAGCTTGACTAGGGATCAAGCCACCCTATTTGATACTCCCAATCACTCACAAAAATTTTAAAATAATTTCAATTTGTACTCATATTTATGTCCAAACACCCACTAAACTTTGACACTTATATCAAAATCCGTAAACACTTAACTATAAAATTAGCGTCAACACTTGATGTTTATCAGCTACTTTTAATCACCTATTAAAATTTTATTAGTAACGGCTTATTGGTGTGGGGCGGATTTTTCAATTTCCTTATCGGATAAATTGTTAACCTGTTAAGAGTTACCATACTTACATTTTTATTCTAGATATATTAAGCTCATTTAATATTTTGTAAAGAGATTATGAGATTATGTAAACTATATATATGATTTTACTAACGAAGGTAGTAGTAAGTTACCCTCCCAATTTTTAATTTCCCCAGAAGCACTTACTATTTCTTGCCAACTAACTAAAGTTTGTCATTCCCCCAAACCCATTTTCCTCAATTCGCAAATACATACATACATTATAATAACAGTAACAGAGAAAGTAATTCAGAGAAAATAAGAGATATATTGCGGTTGCTTACCATACAAATCTGAGGAGACTAATGCGTAGAGAAGCTTAACACCACTGAGGTTAGTATAAGGAGCAGGGTCTTCAGTGACACGCAAGAAGTAAGCGAACACATCCACAGAAACGTATCCATATGAAGCTGCATAATGGATTGGATATGTACCATACATACAGGCAATATGTGGTAAACGAGGATTTCTTTTTACAATGATTTCAGCTGCATCTAAGTTGCCAAATCTAGCAGCATAGTGAAGAGCAGCTTCACCAAAGCAGTCTTTTCTGGCTAAATCTTCTTTGTTTTCTATACTCGCCACCAACTTCTCTACGAAATGCTTATTGCCTTTTTCACTCTTTACCCCAACTGCTAAATGGAGTGCTGTCTGTAATTGAGTGTTGATTGGAGCTATACTTGCGTCTTTCTCTTGTTTCAAGAATGCTTCTGCTTTCTCCCAATCTCTACTTAGTAAAGCTCTGAATAGTGGAAAGTAGAAGCTATAATCTTTTAATTCAATGTATACAACACGTGAACCACCTGTACAATGACAAACCAAGAGCACATTTGGTCATTTAAAATGAAATCATCCATTAATAGTTGGGCTCACAGAAAGGACCCATTCGTGTTACTTTTCAATCAAATTTAATGGTTTTGCAAAACTAACTTTCCGCATGGCCGTTTATTAGAGGTCCACGTGCCACAATTAAAACAACCTAATTCAATTAAATTTCAAATAGACCTGGCTCACTAACATCATACCCGACTCACCCTTAACCCATTTCTCTTTTATTTCTCCCCCAGGCCCTTAGATCAATCAATTAGCAAGAAATTGACAGATGAATTCATTATTATACATTATAGAAAAAAATGTATGTTTCAAATATTAATTATTTTATACTAAGCAAACAAAAAATTGAAATTGAATTGTGCAAAAAAATAGTAGAAAAAAGAAGCGAAAAGTGAAAAGAAATGAACTTTATTACAGTCCAAGTGAAATTGTAGAGTTCAAGATCAAACCCACAAGTGTAGTTACGATAAGAACCCCATAAACCTCAATGAAAATTCAAACACTAAAAGATAAACAAGAGAAAAATTCACATGAACTTCTAAAGAAGTAATGTAATCAAGAAAAATGTGGTTCAATATTAAAAGAGTGAGAGAAAAACGATAGAGCTTTATGTCAAAAGAAATTGAAAGATTAGGGCTTGTAAACATTGCACCTTTGAAACTTTTATAGGGGAGTCAAACATTAAAATGGAAAATCACGCAGCTTATTTTGCGATCACGTAGTTCAAGTCAGGGTCGACTTAAGTTCTTCTCCGTGATCGCGTGGGTGGTGTCGCAATCGCGTAGAGTAAAATATCTGGGCAAAATCTTATTTTTCAAAAATCGGGGTTTCTTCCCTATTTTTTATTTTTGAACTTTGAGAGTTCTAGAGTGGCGATTTCAAAGAGATGTATTAAGATAACAAATTTGGGTAAGTGATTTTAACCCCAATCCTCCATTACCCATTTATTACTTCATGATTTTAGCATCAAATCATTGTTTTTAATCTCAAGTTTTAAGGGTTTTTTTATGAACTTATATTTTTGAGTAAATTGGAGTTTCAAGTATGATTTTAACTCATTTTTCGATTCGATTTCACTTGAGAGTTTCAAAAAATCATTGGATATTATGATTTTCTATAAAAGTTTCAGAATTACCCTTAGCCCACTGGATTGACTTTTGGATCAATTTTGGACCCAATATTTTTCAAAATCAGCACTATAGATATCGATGTTCATAATTTCTTATGGGGATTCTATATTTGATTAGATTTTGTGGATTCAGAGGCTCAACGTAAAGGGAAGGCTCAAGTTCCTAGTCGATTTTGTTCTCTTTTAAGGCAAGTTGATCTCTTTGAGTTTTTGTTAAGTGTATTGAGCCTGGTATGTTTTGTTGTGTTTTTACAAGTAATGGAGAATGGTGAAGGTTCTCGTATATTGTACTTGTTATTAAATGTTGTCTGAATGTTAGTGATGATCATGTGGGAAAAAATGAATTTGTTGATATGTTAATGTATGACGTGCCACGAGTCACTTGAATGGTAATATTGGCTCACTTTGGATGATGTGCCATGATTATATATGATTGATTATTGATGTAGAATTTATCATCCTCTCATTATATATATGAACACGCCTATTTGTCTTGATTCTAAGGCGTTGTTGTAATGGATACTCTGTGGAAGTGATGAAAAAGAGAAATAAAGAGGTTGTACCATTTTCGAGGGATGTACTCCATGTCGGAGTTGATACTATATTCAAGGGACGTTCCCACGTTGGGGATGATATAATATTCGAGGGACGTGCCTCGCACCTGGTAGGTGCATGGACTGATATATACCCATGGGTCCCATGATGCTATGCAACAAATGTGTATCAATAGGACATGCATGCATCACTTTATATGACATTTGCATTACATTTCATTGCACCTTACCATCATTCTTTGAACTTTGTGAGTGAGTTGCTATGTCTTGTGGTTATTTGAATCTAAAAGTTTGTGATGATGCCAGTGGCGGAGCCAGAATTTTTAATTAGGGGGGTTCAAAATCTGAAGAAATAGACACACGAAGTAGCCTAAGGGGGTTCAACATCTATTATATATACATAAAAAATATTTTAACCATGTAAAAATAATATAATTTTCCGCCGAAGGAGGGTCGGATGACCCCCCTAAAGATAGGGTGGCTCCGCCACTGGATGATGCTATGGAGACTCTAGTGCAATCCTTTCATTCAGTCATTTCGCTTCAGCTATATTATCTTGTATTCTTCGATCAATCAGAGGCGTATTCAGGATTTTGAGATGATGGGTGCACTGTTATAAAAAGGTTGATCTATGATATAAATTTGATCGGTTTGACATTAAGGTTTTTACTACTCAAAACCGTTAATATTTTAAAAATATAGGTCTAATATATATATATATTACCAATTACCACTTATTGAAGTGTTATCTAATTTTAGAATTAAAAAAAAAACAAGATAAATATAAAATTCAAATTTCTAACCTCGCGGAGAGAGGTGCACCCGGTCATAATCGCATTATGTGATACTTCAAGTGTGGGTTCACACATATATATTTCAATATTTAAAAAAATAATATAACACTACTATATATGATCTCGGGAGGGGACCATGGGTTCACGTGAACCCGGTGACCCCCCCTTAAATACGCATCTGCGATCAATAAAGAATGAGGACTAGCTCACCAGTAAAGGAGAGGGGCGGACTAACATACTTGTACATTCAATGTACTGATGTCATTCGACCTACATTTCATGATGCAGATACAAGTGTTCAGGATCATCAACAGGTACTTCGTTGAGATCATTTTGTGTAAAGACCCATCAGGTCGTTTTGAATAGTAGTCCTCCTTCTTTCATAAAAAACCCATCTCGTAAAGTTTTAAATGAGAATATTGAACTATTCGTTTAGCTACGGTTATTCAGTTGACGGGTATTTATTAAATAATTGAATTTTAGTTAGTTTTTAATGGGCCAAGTCCATATATAATACATTATGTCACTTGACCCATATGTTAAAATAAATTAATGGGGCTTAATATTATTTTATTATTATATGAAATAATTGCTGCCTCCACCCCCAATATACACAAAGACGTTGCGGCGACAAGAAAAAAGGAACGAGTACCGTAGTAGCTATGAAATTTTTTTATCCAAATTATGTATTTTATATGCAATTGTTGATTGTTATATGAATAATAATGTGCATTAAGGTAGTGGGTAGAAGAAGTATAGATAATGGTGAGTGTCTGCTGGTTGAAATTTTAAATTAAAATTAAATAAAAAAATTAAAAAGATTTAATGAAGAGGGAAATCAATAAGGGAGAAATTATTACATTGGAAGGCATGATAGATGATGATTTGAATTTACATTTAAAAGGGTAAGCAGTAATTTTACATTTTGGTTCATGGACGTGTTGCCGCTGGTTTCGTAACCAGTGGCTTTACCATTAAATATTATTATTTTGTTATTATACTATAAATTAAGTTTGACATATTAGTATATGTAGTTTAATATTAGGTGTACTGTATTATCTGAATATCATTAGATTTATGTTATTTGGAGGAACTAAGACTTAACCTTAGGCTTGAATTTAGAAAATATGAGACTGGGGATATTTAGTTGGCACCTAGATTTATGAATTTAATTATAGATTACGGTGAGTTTTGGATCTAGGCTAGGCCTATAGTAATATGGCTGTCTATAGACTCACTTGCTTACGGATATTACATATTTGATAGATTGGGCACATTCTGAAGTTTTACGAAAGGAAAAGGCAAAATCTTGAGGATTCGTGACACGTGAGACTTCGTTGAAGGATATTTTTTTAATTAAAGATTAAAAATGGAATAGACAATGGGTAAGAGCGAAAGATGGGAGTCTCGTACCAATGGTGTGACGGGCATTGGTACGAGTACCAGTGTTATAAAGAGAAAGTTTATTACTACCAAATAACGGATTATAATCCAAGAATGCCAAAGCATATGGGCATTAGCTGATGTATTATTGACTTGATTTCTTTTGTGCGATTGTGTTTCTTTATTGAACCTATATATTTGTGAGAGTTGGGGTGATTATATATCATACCAATATTTGATTGATTGAGATGCGTCATGATCCCCTTTTATTGAAATTGTATTGTGCACATGTATTGACATGAGATTGGGTATAAGTTGGGCAAGTGGAGATCGTCTGTGCTGGGGATTATGAGATGTTATGATTATAAGTTGGGCATGTGGAGATCTTCTGTGCTGGAGATTGTTTGATTTTATGATAGTGCGTAGAGATCGTCCACACAGGCACGTGGAGATCATCTGTGTCGGTATATGGACCTTGCGAGTCCCCCATGGGTAATGATCTCTCGATATATTTTAAAGAAGTATCATGTATATACAGTTGAGAGAGTACTTGGCATTTGAGACATATTATTTCACAGTGTTGCATTGCATTGCATCTCATTACATCGTTCATTCTTTTTTGAGTATGTGTTTTATTGATGTTGGACATTACATGACATTTGATTATCCCTATTAATGAAAACTTGGTTGATAAGTATCATGTAGACTTGTAAAATTAAAGGATTATTTTCTTATATACTCCTGTCACTACTTCTTCATTGTCGGTCTATGAGATATACTGGGTATATATGGTCTCATACTCATACTACACTTGCTGCACTCTTTTGTGGTGTAGATTGAATTTTGAATTCGAGTGCATTTTTTTTTTTGGAGCATTCAGAGTTGAGCTTGAGTTATCTTGGAGTTGTGATGAGTTGTTTGGCTACTCCGTGGCCTACACCACCATCTATGTCTTTAGATATTATTTTATATTAGTATTCATACAGGATATTCCTTACTTCTAGGTTGTCATTTAGTTTCAGACTTACATCATAGTATAGAAGCTCTTGTACTTATGATACTAAATCTTGGGTTGGTATTTTCGTTTTCTGCATTTTATTTTAAAGGGC